TCTGTTTTTTTTTTTTTTTTTTAATCCTCACCCGAGGATATTTTTCCATTTTTTGTACAGATAGAATGGGAGGGAGAGAGAGGAAGGGAGAGAGAGAGAGAAACATCGATGTGAAGGGACACATCGAGTGGCTGCCACCCGCACGACCAACCAGGGCCGGGGACAAACTGCAACCGAAGTACGTGCCCTTAGCGGGAACCGAACCCGGGTCTCTCCGGACCGCAGGCCGACGCTCTAACCGCTGAGCCAAACTGGCCAGGGCTAGCCTCATTTCTGAAAAGCCCTAGTTGTCTTTTTGGTTTTGCCATTGTTCTTGGGTCCACATCCACATTTCCTGTCATCTCTGCCTGTCCCGTTCATTACATTGTCACATTACAGGTTCTGTCCAGCATAGTGTTTGGTTGGCATAACTGACATTTCAAAAGATGTAAGCTAATACATGTATAAACATCGGGTGAGAGGACACTAACAGAAATATTTTGTAGAAGCTGCATATATACAAATTGAGAAGCAGTAAAGTTAAGTCTGTAGTCTAGTTTGTAAAATCTGAAATTCCGGCTCCACCACTTTGGGTCAATTTCTTTATCTCTTTAAACCTCAGCTTCTTCATCTTTGGAATGAGGACATAGTAGCTACTTCAATTAGATACAGTGAGGATTAAACAAGGCAATTTAAGTGAACTGTTTAGTACAATGTCTGACATATAAATATTTGATAAATCTAATCCAGCAACAATGACAACAGTGATCATGAAACAATGCCTCTAGTTGGGTGTCCCATTTTGCATGCCAACCTACTACAGAGTGTGTAGCTCTTTCAATAAGCCTTGCCAGTTGCTATTAGTAATTAAAAATGATGCCTCTGGCCTGGCCGGTGTGGCTCAGTGGCTGAGCATCGACCCATGCATCAAGAGGTTGCCGGTTCGATTCCTGATCAAGGCACATGCCCAGGTTGTGGGCCAAATCCCCAGTGGGGGGCATGCAGGAGGCAGCTGATTGATGTTCTCTCTCACTGATGTTTCTATGTCTCTAAAAATTCAATAAAAACATATGTTTTAAAAAAAACTTTCTTACTATAATTATATGAATTTAAAACATATATTGTATATATTGGATCCTAGTTCTATTCATTTAAGTCTAATGGAGGGTCAAAGATGGTGATGAAACTTTTCTAAGGAAATGTGTTTCTTCCATTCACTAAATACATATTCATAAAACTTATAACTGTGCTGTGGAACCTAAAAACAAAACAAAAACAAAAACAAACAAAAACCTGAAGAGCAATTACCTTTAAAAGATGTGAAAAGTTTTCTTTTTGGTTTTCAAAAACTAACAGATTATACAATTTTGCTAAATATATATCAGAGGAAGTCTTATAAGTTTTCTTAGGGTTTAATTCTCTCTTCATGTCCAGGAAAATAATATTAGATATAAGAAATCATTTCAACATGAAGGCACTGGGTATTTGGTATGTTTTAGGGCTTTAAAAGTAAAATGCAATCAAAAGGTGGTGTAGAACACTGGTTAAGGAAGTATGCTCTTGAGCCAAACTGCCAGGATTATTAGCTGTGTGACTGGGCAAATTACTTAGTTTCTCTGTGTATCTCAATCTCCTCTTAGGTAAAATGGGGATAATATTAGTATGTACCTCCAAAGATAGTTATAAGGATTAAATGAGTTAATTTCCACATATAAGTTAGTTAAGTGCCTGGTAATTTGTTGGCAGTTGAAAATAGCCATTATTTGGCCATTGGGAATTCCTCTTTTTCATTGCAATTTAAGAGCTCTTTTCTGGGTCATTTGTATCGGCAACCTCCAAAATCCAGTGTTGCGGCAAACTTCTCTTAAGATAGTCCCAGTCACCTTTAAACATATACTAAAACTGCAACGAGAACTCCTAACATGTTTCCTTCTAAGTTAACAAAATAATAACTAAAGCAAGCATATGCAACAAAACCAAGTCATAGCCTTTTACTCGGTGAAAAATGGGCATAAATGGACCCATTTTAAAATGGAATTGGGCAGCCATTCCAGAGGAACCGCATTGCACCTCTTACTCCTTGAAACTTTGGAACTGTTTGAACTGGGACTAAAGCAACATTGTATCTCAAACAATTGTTTGCAAATAACAAGAAAGCTGATCTGACTATGAGGACTGATAATTAAAGACATTTTCTAGAATCAGTCAACAACCATGTAGTATAGCTAAAGAATAACTTAGCTTATTATCACCAATAGAAATTCCTTCTGTCTATTTGTGTAATTTATTTCCCCTCCTTTTCTCATAAGAACCCCTTTGCCTTCACCCCATAATCAAAACACAATTTGAGTTTCTGCCTGAATCAGTGCTTCTGGAATACCTAATCTTTGATCTCAAATAAAAGCTGGTTGCCTCTCACTTTGTTTATTATTATTATTATTAATCTATTTATTTATTTTAATTCTCACCTGAGGATATGTTATTTTTTGTTTTGTTTTGTTTTTTTTATCCTCACCTGAGGACATTTTTGCATTTATCTTCAGATAGAGCCGGAGGGAGAGAGGAAGGAAGAGAGAGAGAGAAACATTGATATGAGAGAGACACGTGGACTGGTTGCCACACAACTCCAATGGGGGCTGGGGACAAACTGCAACCGAGGTACGTACCCTTAGTGGGAACTGAACCAGGGACTCTCTGATACTCAGGTTGATGCTCTAACGGCTGAGCCAAACCGGCCAGGGCTGAGGATATATTTTTATTTATTTTAGAGAAAGAGGAAGGGAGGGGGAGAGATATGAGAGAGAAATATTGTAAGTTGACTCCTGTATGTGCCAATAACAACCAAGGATAGCACCCTTAAGATCAGTGTGTGCCCTGACCAGGAACTGAATCCTAGACCTTCTGGTGTACAGGACAATACTCCAACCACCTGAGCTGGGTCAGTGTTTTATTTTTAAGGTTAACAACTCTGCAAAACTTTTCAGTCAAAAGGCTTAAAGCATATTTCAAAATATTTTGGTCGTAATTTACAGCATGTATTAATCTGATAGACTTATTTTTTTTAGTTCTTTGCTCACTCTGAGCTCATGGGTTCTCAGAGTATGGGTAAATACACAAGCAAAATTTAATGAACCTCAGATGAAGAGCAAATTAAATGGTTTTTCATACTGCAAGTAGAGATAAAAGAATGAAGCCAAGGTGTCTTCATGGGCCACTCCTCATAGGTAGGAGACAGCACTTCTCAGGTCTCAGCAGGCAGGATCCTTGCCACAGGAAAAGAGCTGGGTTTAACTGCCTGGATGGAGGCCATTGGACCCCTTTCTTTTGGGGTTAGTGGGTGTGTAGTTCTGATTCCTACCGGAATGGCCATACATATGGGAGACAGACCTCCCAGGCACATGTACTCAAGGACTAACATAATAGCTAAAAGCCAATCACACTCATGCATTTCAAACATTATAAGCAAGTTGCATCGGCTGGCTTTATACTAAGGCCTAAGGCTTCAACCCCTGTAGTATCTGTTAGCGCCCCCCTACGCTCCCAACCCAAACCAAATCACACTAAACAAAAAAACAAACCAACAAAAACCACACATGTTCCAAAGTAGCAATCGTTAGGGATTACCCTGGGGACTCCTACTTACATACAGCTCTGGAATATAAATATCCTCCCTCCCTCCCTTCTAGGTTTGCTTGGATAAAACCCAACTATATTCAAAATTCCTGCTCAATTAAATCTAGTTATTTCATTGTTAAAATCCTCTAATAATGGTAAATGTTCAATGTATAACATTTAAGGTTTCTGATAATTATTATAAATTAAATATAACAGATGTGAGATTGATTCTTATGAGTAACTCGAGGTCGAGAAGCCTATTTGATTTTTTAAAAAAAATCTCAAATGAACCTCAATCAACAAGTATTACTTGAGGTAAATTCGTCAAAGGTTGGCATTGTGATTCCTAAATATTTCCGAGGAATGAAAGGAGCAATGTCAATGTACTGGATGAGCTGAGCTTCTTTTCCAGAGTTTATGCACCATAAAAAGAAGTCTTAACATTTCTTATGTACAATACTCCTCCTCAATACATGTATCAAGCATATTTAAACCACGATATGCATTACTTTAAAGAAATCTACCATGCTTTAAATACTTCAGAGCTTATCTTTCGTCTGTGGGAGAGTAAAGGGGGAACGGCCCCGGGCGCTAAGGCGGATGAAGGGAGATGGGGGAGAAAGGGGAGGAAAGGAAGGTGGAGCCGGCGTCCTTCTGGGTCAGGGTTACTTCGCGTGTACTAGATTCTGGAGGAGAAAAGGTGCACAGGGGAATTTGGTAGGTCCTTGTTGTCTCAAGATGGAAGTCCAGGCCCTTGGGCTTGTCCAGATTGTGAATGGAGAGCTCGACTCCCCTTCCCTTGCATCTTCCGAGGCGGCAGCGGGTTTAGGAAGGAGGCGGCAGGGCGGAGGCCCGCGGTCCCTGCCCGAGCCCTCCGCATCCCTGTCGCGAGGCCGGGATGGTCTCGCCCACCCCGGCGGAATTCCCAGAGGGCCCTCGCCGGGCAGGGGTGCAAAAGGGATTCTGCGAATGTTGACATTAAAGGGACACGCAAACTCAGCGTCGTCGTCCCCGCAGTTTACCCGCACCTATTTCTGTACCTAAGCCAAGGTCACTCTTTAATACCGAGCCATTCCCTGAGCTGGGGCGTCGCGCTCGCCTGGTGACGGCGGCCGGGGCGGAGAGGGGCGCAGTGGTGAGACGGGCCGTGTGGCGCCCCGGGTTAGCCGAGCCCGCACCTGCCCGGCGGCCAGACCCGGAGGGAGGCCAGGCGGCCCCCGGCGCCAAGGAGGGGCCGCGAGCGGGCGGCGGGCGGGGGGATTCGGTGGGCGCGGCGGCGCGCGGCGGCGAAGGCTCGGAGCGCTGCGGCGCGAGTGCGTCACGCCGGCGGAGGGCACGGTGGGCTGCGGCCGACTCGCCGACCAGGAGCCGGGCGCCCGGGCGAAGGGGAGGCGGCCGCACCCGCCCTGGCAGCCGCGAGCGACGCGGCCGGGGTCGCCAGTGAGCAGTCACCGGCTCCATTCATTCCCGCGGCTCCGCCTCCTTTCCCGGGCTCCGCGGGCGCGTCCGAGGTGAGTGTGCTGCCCGAGCCGGCGGGCGCCGCGGGCTGAGGCCGAGGCTGCCTCGTGCGGCCCCGGGCCCCGCCGGCCCCGCCGGCCCCGCCGGCCCCGCGCCCCGAGGGCGGCGATCCCGCTGGCAGCTGCGGGCTCGGCCGCGGCGCAGGCCCCCGCCGGCTGCCCCCGCCCGGGACGCGCGTCCCGCTGCCGGCGGCCGAGCCGGTCTCCCCTGGGGGGCGTGTGGGGGCCCCAGGTGCGCCGGCCTCCGCGTCGCGCCACCATTTTGTGTGAGGGAATGCCTCCTCCTCTCTCCTTCCCTCTCCTTCCTTCCTCGCCCCCGGGGCGTCCGGTTCCCGGCTGTGCTTGCTGAGCCCCCGCCCCGCCACGGCTCCCCCTGGAGCCTTTCCGCTCGCCGGGCTCCTTGGCGTGGGAGAACTTAAGCGGGTTCACCCACGGAGGTGGCCTCCAGAGATGCTCTGCCACATCCCAGACCTTTAACTACTTTTGGAATAGATATCGTATAGATTCATGTTTAGAATGCAGCACATTGCAATTTTATTCTAATTCTTAGCTGCCCATTATGCAGTTTTTCGAGGCCTGTGCCCAGGAGATCGATGGGTGAAGCATTGGATTGTTTATGGCTCAGGGATCTGGTACACACTTTACTCCCATTATTATCCTTTGGGAGAAATGATGATGCATCTTACTCGCTTTTCAGCTTCCGGAAATTGGTATGGTATTTTACAAGGAGTAGATTTTTAGGATAACCACCTGATGCCTGCCCCTTCCCTCAATTGAAATGGTCCTGTGTGAGAATTTTTGAGGGCATTGGGGACGGAGGGACAGGTTACTAAAAAGACCACCAGAAAGAAAAGTTGTAATTACGATTTTGAACTGTTACACAATTTGTCATTTTCAGGGTTCCTGAGAATTTGGTAGTTCTTGTTTTAATTTATGTTGTAAATGTACTTAAGTACCTCATGGATTATACTCACGCCATTTGTATTTTATCACTGCATCACAGACAGGGATTAAAATCTGGAATGGTGGCTGTTGCGTAATACACATATTTGGGCCCTGGAGGGAATTCACCAAAATGGATCTGGGTTTGATGTGGACTGTAACATCTGCTTGCATTTATTTATTTGTTTATTTATTGCACACAAGATGTACAGGTTATTTTTGCAAACTACCATATGTTTTGTTTTCCTCCTCCAAGAGGAAAGATTTTTAGTGACTAATAGGGCCAGACTAAGCCCCCCCCCCCCATGGGGGCGTGGAGGTGAGTGGAAGAGGACAGGGACATGAGATGGTGAGAGGAACCTGGGAAGTCTATTTGTGAAGACTTCCAGTGCAAACAAAGATAAAATACCAGTCTTTCACAGTAAGCTTGTAGCTGTCAGTGTACTCTCTTTGAATTTATAATGAGGATTGATTAGGGAACTTAGAAATATTTTATATGAATAGCAACATTACCCTGCTGCCTGAGTGATTATAACGTAAAATGTTTTACCTGTGGATTATAGGTTCTAAAAAGTTCCGAATTAGTCTGACCTTTGATATAGGTTTGAATAATTATAAATGGTATCATTTCTCTAATAAAGGCACAATATACATCAAACAAACAAAATATTTTATAATTAGATGCTTTTGAGAGTAAAATTTCAGTCACTCTCATTAAATTACTGTAAACTTTTTTTCTGAATAGTTGAAGACTCTTCCACTAATTTTCTGTACAAACGAGTGATTCATATCTGTACCATCCCTCGAAGAAATGTTATGCTTCTCATTAATGACATGTTCTATGGGGAGAATTAGGGAAGTGAAAGGGTCCTCGGACATTGAGAGATGAGTCTTGTTTAGGGAATTTAAATAAACAAAGATTGTCTGCTAGAGATCCAAAGTACCCTGATTGGACCTATCTTAGGTCCATGGGGAATGAGATTGTTCTTTCTAGCAAGTTCACTGCTGAGTCAAATACAGTTCCTACACCTTTACATTGATTCTGTTAATACACATGTCAGAGAAGTTCATAGAATTGGTACTGTTGTGTTTAATTGAGTTTGGAAGTGATCCTGGTGTGTTTTTATCTTTGATGTAGCTTGAGATTTTGAGCATTATTTTACCAGTGGTTGAGAAATTGAAAAGGGAAAAAATCTGTAATATTTTTATCCATTAGCTCTTACCTAACTAACCTTTTTAAAGCCTTATGTGTTTTATGTTTAGTCATCTGCCTAAAAATGCAAAAATGTACTTTTTAAAGGTAATGAGAACATAAGAGGATTGAGTAATTTGGACAGAGGTTCGAAAAATATCAAGGATTCTGTAGAAAGGACTGTTGGTTGGGTAAGACGGTAAACAAAAGCCTTCATGTTTCTTTTCATTTCTAAGATTTTCTGATTCTAAATTGAAAAAAGGAGTTGCACAATTATTGTGTTTAAGATGATTTTCTTTTCACACACCATTAAGCTTCTGATCTTTTGTATATTTAACCCTGAAATTAAAGTGTTAAATTTGGTATGCTTTAGTAGTATAAGTATTTCATAATTCTTTCCAAAAACAACAGTGAAATTACTCAAGTTTGAATTTATTAAAGAAAAGGTGTGATGATTTATTTATTTTTTTGTTTATTTATTTAAGAGAGAGAAAAGGAGAGAGAAAGAGAGAGAGAGAGAAACATCAATGAGAGAACATCTATTGGCCGCCTCCTGCATGCCCCTCACTGGGGATCAGGACCACAACCTGGGCATATGCCCTGATCGGGAATTGAACTAGTGACCTCATGGTTCATGGGTCAGCGCTCAACCACTGAGCCACACCAGCCAGGCAAGGTGTGCTCATTTAAAAAGACTCAGGGAAAAGCTGATAATTTGCTAAAGACATCATACAGTAATTATTAGACTCATTGAATTTTAGAGCTGAAATATGGGACCTTACACCAGGTTTATCTGCTCTGCAGAAGGAATCTACTCATGTAGCCCTATTCTTCCTGCCAGAAGGTTTCTAACTTACCACATACTTTGTTTTTGAAAACATAGTATCAGTTTAGTTACTACCTGCTCCAATAAAATATTAGTTTTTATTTATTCAACAAACACTGAGTGTCTGTTGTATGTTATCCTGCACAAAAACAAATATACTCCACCCTCATGGAGTTTATAGTTTAGTGAAGTATTGTGGACTAAAATGTTAAAGATTCCGCCTGGTTGGGGCATGCAGGAGGTGGCCAATGGATGTTCTCTCTCATCAATGTTTCTATCGCTCTCTCCCTCTCCCTTCCTCTCTCTCTAAAATCAATAAAGAAAAAAAGAAAAGGTTCCATAAAATATAAATGCACAAAGATTTTTGTAAGTATGAATTAGGTACACATTCAATTAGTAAATTGTATTTTTTAAGTTCCAGGTTGCATGGGTAGGGTGGGTGGGGCTACATTTATGGGTTGTGTAGAGGAGAGGGTTCAGTTACTGAAAGAAACTAAGAAGGGAAAGAAACTAAGAAGTAGATTTGGGAGAGAGTGTTGTCCAGGGAAGGAGAGGAACTTTTAAGCATTAGAAAGTGGTCAGTTGGGTCTGGTCTGTCATAAGATCAAGAGGGGTTAGAATGAAAAGAATTCATTGAATTAGGGAGTTGAGAGGTTATTGGAGGCCTGAGGAGGAATAATATCAGTATAGTGATAAGAGAAGAATCCTATTTAGGGATGAAAAAGCCAATAAATAAGACTTTTTGTTATACAGTGATTGATAAAGTAATAAGTGGTACTAATAAGGAATTTTATAGTCTAAAATCTTTTACACATATGTGCCAGTGCTTTCAAGTTTAGATTGCCTCCTGATATTCCTGATGAATTTATTCTGATTGTTAAATTAGCAATAGTTATTATTCAGAGGCAGTGTAGTGCCACAGTTTAAGCCAAGTAGACATTAACATAGGTTTGAACCCTGGCTTTGCTGTTTCTAGCTGCCTGACTTTTAAGATAATTAATCTCTCTGCGCCTCCTCATTTGTAAAGTGTACAATTGACCCTTGAACAATGTGGGGGTTAGGGGTGCCAACCCCTGTGCAGTTGAAAATCTGAGTATAACTTTTTAAAAATGTTTTTATTGTTTTTTTTAGAGAGCCGGGAAAGGCGAGATAGGAAATCTATGTGAGAGAGAAACATCAATCAGCTGCCTCCTGCATGCTCCCTACTGGGGATTGAGCCCAAAACCCAGGCATCTGACCTGATGGGGAATCAAACAGGGACCTCTCAGTCCATGGGATGATGCTCAATCCACTGAGCCACACAGGCCAGGCAAAAATCTAAGTATAACTTTTGACTCCCCCAAAACTTAGTCGTGCCTTAGGTATCTGCTGGGGATTGGTTCCAGGACCGCCGAGGATACAAAAATCTTGAGTCCCTTATATAAAATAGTGTAGAACAGTGTATATAGTCAGCCTTTCACATCCTTGATTCTCAACTGCCAATCAAAACAGTACAGGTGACATTCGGTCAAGATGGCGGCATAAGTAAATGCGGTATCGCGTCCTCCCACAACCACATCAAAGGTACAACTAAACTACAGAACAACCATCATTCAGAACCGCCTGAAATCAGGCTGAATGGAAGTCCTACAACTACAGAATTAAAGCAGCCATATGAGACTGGTAGGAGGGGTGGAGGCGCGAGGGGCAGAGATACCCACGTCTGGCGGATAAAAATCAGGAGGACACCTCGGCTGGGAAGGTCCTCCCTGAGGACTGAGGGGTCCCCGTCCCACACCAGGTGCCCCACTCAGGGTTCCAGTGCCAGGAAGAGAAGTCCCCATAACTTCTGGCTGGAAAAACCAGCGGGAACTGAGGCTCAGGGAGGCTGAGGAGGCTGGAGCCCCAGGCAGCTCCTTAAAGGGCCCGCGCACGAACTTATCGGACTCTCTCCCTCTAAGCTTGGAGGGGAGGCAGCTCGAGGGGCACCAGAGACATACAGGGAAGAACTGAGCTGTGTGGCACTGGAGCGAGGGCTGGAGAGGGGGCTTCCTC